GGTGCTTATTGTACCTGTTGTTCTCTCCTGTACAGGTGTGATACCACACACACTACACAAAAGCCTGGGAACATTACAATTGAAAAGAAATACATACATCACACTACAGAAGGCCGCTATATTGAATACATGTCATATCGTTAGGAAATTCCTTAATACAGACACTGACACTAACATACTTATTTAATTAGTTTTGGTTGCTATGCCTTGACTCTGGTCCGGCATAGTACACAGCCACCGGTTTAAACCGAGTATTACCCACTAAACCCAACGTAATAATATATTATTTTTGTTTTTAGAAACAAAATGGAATTATCTATGATAAGAAAAATGGAAAAGAAAAATGTGATTAATGTATGTTGATAAGTAGCATTCATTGAACACAAAGGGAAACAAAAGATAAACTGGAATCATTTTACAAGAATAATCTCTATAATTGACAAGTTGAGCATTTATAAATCATGTAATAAGAAATAATATTCAACTTTTATGACATAAAAATCAGATTTCTCCCAGATCCATATAACAGATAGTTAAAAGCATTAACTATCAAATATATTCATTAAAGTTGCAATTGTTGTTTAACAGCAATGTATAGTTAATTTATTGCTATTTCACTATAAGGATACAGAAAGATGAAACTTGGATTAATGCAGGTTATATTAAGAAAATTATTTGGAATATGCAATACTTCATAATGATTACTTTAACCAACATACAGCTTTTTCAAGACAATCAACTAATCTCTCTAGAAGAGAAAAGCATTTTATTGTGACTCATATATGGATAGTGAAGATAAAATTGTATATACACTTCATCTTCACCTTCCATATATTTCAGTATTAGGGATTGCAATTGCTGGATCCCTCATCCAGCTGGATCCAGCACATTTTTCGGCCTGTTGGATCCAGCACCAGGTGCTGGATCCACGCTGGAGATCTGCAAATACTCAATTAACTTTCTAAATAATGGTGCAAAAGTTTACGTTGTTGGCCTTGCTGCTTTGCTACGTGCGTTATCGCTCGGCGGCGAGAGCGACGTTGCCATTCAGTGCGGCACGTACTACACCCCCTCTCTACACTGCACCGCCTGCTCTTTTACCTCTGGTGATCTAATTGCCAGTTGACTTTCCACTCTCGCTAAATAAAGTATCTTCACGCTAAATAAAATAAGTAACTCCTATCCTAGTCCTGGTGCATAATTCTAATTTACGGTTGGTTGTGACGTCAATGAATCACGTGACGGAACAATCGCAGTTTAAACTGGCCGTAGAAGCTCTCTGCAGAAGAGTCGAGTTTGATAACTGCTGACACAATCCTGAAATTTGTCTTAGACAAACTAAAAAGCCAGGACACAATCTTGAGTGCCAACCTTTCCGAGGCACTCTGCAAAAAATCAGAGAACGGCATCTTACCGAGGTCACAGGGATGCTGATTTACATACAGAACCCGAAGAAGTATGATCAAAAAGTCAGAAAGCTTTATCTTTCACATGCCGAAAAAAATGTAATGCGCCAAATGAAAAATATGCTGAATCGTGTAAATACATATGTAGTGGAACCAGCAGCAATGGCAGAGGATATTATGGAGGTGAAAAACGATGATCCAGATAACCTGGATTTCCTGAATTTCACATTGGAACAAGAATTAGAGATCCAACTAAAGAAAACTTCATGAAACAGAAAGAAACTAGTACTGAGAAGGATTATGATAAGTTATTAAAAAAGGAAATGGCTGTTTATGAAAGTGAGGGAGTCAGAGGTGAAAACTTATCTTTGATTTATCATTATTTGATGACACTGAAACCAACTAGCATAGAGGCAGAAAAGGCCTTATGTAGGGAGGGATATACATGCAGTTCATTAAGAAGTAGGTTGGGAGACAACACCATCAATACCATTTGTTTCTAGAGATTATACTTTTAGAAAAGTAAAAAAATAACAGAAGTGATTGATTTAATTTTATTTAATCCTTTAAAATACTTTATTCAAGTCAAGACTAATATTTTATAACTTCTACTCTAATTCTATTAAGTAAGAGTTTTTAACTTTTATTCTATAAGTGGTTAGTGGGCTAGGCTAGGCAATTTTATTGTGAAAATTAGTGAGAAACTGAGACTACCTAGTTAGTTAAATAGTTAATTAAATTAATGAGTATCAGTATCTTAGATATATGATGATATGAATGTACGTGATTCATGATTGTGATAATAATAACTAACTACTAGACTACTACTAATTACTTACTCACTACTTTATTAACACTAATAATTAAATTACTTATAAATAACTACAGACTGATATGTAGAGCCTATATAAGAAAACTGGTAAGACTGATAGCCACTTAGCCACTGATTATCCGTCCTTACATTATTATAATATAATATATTAATATAAATTAATTAGTAGAATTACCTTTGCTATTATTTAACTTAAAGATTACATTATAATTATAATCTAACTAAACATTGAAAGTTAATTATCTCTATCTCAAGTGTTAAACTGAACCAAAGTTAAGTTTGCTACCTAACTGTGTAAGAAGTTTTACTGATTTATAGTGACCAGTCTAAATAATAAAAGTTTCTTAAGTATTTAAAAAAAATGTTTTATTTCTTTAAAAAAAAACCCCATAAATTTTGGATAGATAGACAGATTACACTTTATTGCACCAAAAAACATCCACGTATCATTCCAGCTGGAATGATGTTGGTCCAGCAAAAATCCAGCTGGATTAAAAACACTGCTGGATTGCAATCCCTATTCAGTATATACAAAAACTAATCATAATAGAATGGACAATAAAAATCTTTCTTAAAATGATTTGAAAGCATTATTCCTAAACTGGATAAAAATATTATAATACTAAATAATACTTTGTGTAATTCAAAATTTCAAAAACAAGAACTGGAGAAAAATATAATTCAATGATTATAAAAGGAATATTCCAATTTTAATATTTGTGGACCATGAAAAAATATTGGCATAAGTATAAGAAGTATATAATAAATGAAATCACTTTGTTTTCGAGAGATATTTTATAATTTCTATCTTGTCACAGCAGTCTAACCCAAAATCTTTAAATGTATATTAAGATAAAAGATTCAGCAGATTATCTGTTCTAATGGCAGAATTTAACAAATTTGAATATTGGCAAAAATGTATTGAGAACACACAAATACCATTTTTGTTTCCAAAATTTAATTAATATCTGTTAACAATCTTATACTTATTTTTTTATTTAAACGAATAATAAATTTAATTTAATTATTACATCATTTATTGTGTTACACTACAGATAGCTTTTTGTAAAGTTTTATTTAGCATGGTAACCACCCATTCTAAGGAAAACTGCACCAAATATGCCAATTTGTTTTTTATAAAGTAGGTTGTTGTTTTACACAGATTAAAAATCTTTTCATTTTCATCTTACAGAATTTTATGCAAAGAAATTAAGTTACTGGTACCTACCTAAAAGACAAAAAAGTTACTATGATCAAATATTTTGATGGAGAACTAAGAAACCACGCAATAAAATACAATCTTGAAAATATTCCTTACACTTCCAGTTAGTAAATAATACCCCCCAAAAAATTTCAGAGTACAAATGACGAAAAAAAAAATTGCATCAACTGGCAACAATGTGTTAATTATATACATATAGTTATATGTATTACATATATAATTATATGTATACAATTAACACAGAAATCTATAGAGAATTTTAAAAACATTTGGAAATTTAAAAACTTTTGCCACTTAAGTTTTAGATCAGTATATATTAGATGTTTATTACATACCTTGATATAAATTGTGGAATTTTTAATTCCTGAGTAAAAATTTCTGTTGTTTGAATAGCACCATTTTTTGATTCCAATGAACTGGATGATGATTTACAGGACTTTATTGTTGAATTCTGATAAAATGAAAAATATAGAAATTTATTCTTAACTCACATTAAAATTAATTGTAATAAATGACAATTCTTACCGAATTGCTTGCTTCATTTAAAATGGTCTGCCGAACTGTTTTTGTTATACATTTTAAACAAATAATATTAAGTATTATTGCTGAAGCTACAGAAATACCCAATACTTCTTTCCTGAAAGCATTACTTTATATTAGTATATTTTATACAAAACAATTTTAAAAATATTTAATAGTATAACTTTTGAATTTTTTCATTTCACCAACTATAAATTTTATTTTTTCAATATTTAGAAATGAGAAGGACAAAATACAATGTTTACTAATGGCAAAAATTCAGAGCAGTCTTGCTAAGACTGGTTCTGAATTAACATATGGAGGGATATTTACAAATTTTCTATTTTAACTATTATCCTGTATATGTTTGAAATTAAAATAATTTGATTCATTCAAAATCTAATTTAATTCAATTTTTAATAATAAAAATATTAAATTCTGACCGTTTAATCCCAGTGAAAAGTACTGTAATTACTTTAGGACTATCAATTCAAAGATTGTAAGACTCAATACTTGTTTTCAATAAATATCACTGATATAAAGAAATTTATCTGATTATTTATTCATAAAATAATATTTTGAAACATTAAAATAATTCCTAAATACCCCAAATAAATTTGTGTTTTACCTCTCTCTCTCTCTACATTATATATGCATTTGTGTATACATGTGCAAAAATATCTCCATTTACATGAATTCACTTTAACACAGTTGATTTCTTAACATTTGAAAATTTTTCAATTTTATAGATATGATATTTACATCAAAAAGTTTTTTTCTTCTTTTGTTCAGTAACATATATATTTTGGGGGAATTTACATAACTTTAATTAAACTTTTCTACTGCAGTATGAGTAAAATACTGTATTTGAAAACATGGAACAAATCCCAATTTTAAACAGCTTTCTATGGTTCCACTTACATGATTTTTCATTCATGTGCTGGTTTTGTGAAACCAATTAGTTACAGAAATGGAGGAATTAACAAAGAGTACAAGATCAATCTTTAATGTATGCTCCCTCTATTTACTAAATGATCATTATTCTAATCCAATTCATTCCATTGATTCTCAGTCATTGTCATTATCCTATATCAAAGTTGAGTTCTGTTCTTTATGAATGCTCCATTATTTACCATGGTAAAAACACAAAAATATGTTGTCTGACAATGGTAATCGAAGAGGAAATTGTTCTTTTTAAATGAATTAATTAATCAGCAAAGAAAATTGCTAAAAATGTACTACTATAACAATATAAACTATTATAATAGTGTTATGTTATTGTTTTATGCAGCTAAAAATATTTTTTTACTTAAATCCAATCTGAATTTTCTTTTGTCATGTGTTTAGATAACTAGAATTCTACTCTAATTGTAATATTTCCATTATTATTAAAACTTTAAGATGTTTGATAAATTTAAAATTATATATAAACTTGATTTTACCAACAATACCAATTTGTAAATTTCTTTCATATTCCTTATTTGCTTTAATTTTATTAATTTTGCTATTAATAAGAATTATGTGAAAATACAAGTGATAAATCTGATAAATATAACTGACATATCATTATAATAAGTAATTTATTAAATGATAGAGCATTTTATTTTAATTTTTCTAGAAATAATTATTATAGATTCTTCCATTGGTGCTCAGTGTATGTTATAACTTACCCCAAAGCATGTATGTTGGTGTGTAACTGCATACAACGCACAATAATGTACTTTTAATAACTTATTAAAGTACAAAACTTCTTAAAATTTGAGAATATTCTTTCTTTATTTTGTAACATGCATTATGAAACACCGGTACATTCTAAAATACAATGTATAAACTGTAGGTTATAAGCTTCACCTGATGTTAGCCATAAAATAGTCTGTAAACATTTGTCAGTTCATTAAATTTGTGCTATATTTATGAAAATTGAGGTTTTTCTTTATAAATGAAATTGTTTTAATAACAAATTTTCAGATATAATTTTTGATATTATTAATACACTTATTGTCATCAAATATATGAAAGGAACTAGAATTCTCAGAAAATTGAAACTATTGCATTTACCAGTATACATTTTGACCTTTGAGATCTTTCTCAGTCTAAAACACAACTAATTTTAACAATGAAAATACCAATACAATTAATACATTTTTGTGCAATTTGTAATATACATTATGAGATTCAATGTTTACTGATGATGATATATATGTTATTTCAGGATATATTTTATAAACTAAACATGTTTTTAATAACTTTACAAATATATGAAACATCAAATTCAAAAAGTATTTTTAATATCACAGCTATTTAATTAAAATATTTGCAAGTTATATAATACAATAAAAGTTTAATTTCATTTTAATTTTATTTTTAGATGATAATATTTCTGTTTTTTCCAGTTATTTGGATTTTAATGAAAATATTAAAATGATATCTTAATTTTCAGTTTATTGTAGAATTTTGATTCTTCTGATAAATTTAAAGTAAAGTTACAAATTTTAGGAATTTTCAGTTTTCCTGAAATCCTTATTACTTTTCAAACTCTTCCTAAATAGAGTTTGATTTCAAAAATTTTTTATATTAATCATTAAAAATTATTTTATTTTATGTAAAATTAAAATATTTACTAATTTAATCTGTAAAATCATTGTTTTCATAATTTACTTATTGAGCAATAAAATCAGAATATTTTATCTATTATATTATAATGGTAATGTCTTTGAACTATTATTTTTATTATTAAGTATATTTTCTTATAACTAAAAAATCTAAATGATTAATACATAGTCTCTAGACTTCACCAAGAAACAGTAACAATATATTTCATTTTTACATTAGTATTGTTTTAGCAACAATAATCATAAAGAACAAGTATAGATTGACATGTGTATTAATAATGCCTAACTCCTGGACAGATCTTGTCCAGGAGTTATGCATTATCTATTATGACCTGTATCTATCACATTCTAACACAGACATTGGTGGGCTGTGTGCCATAGCAGCCTACCCAAGATTTCATGAAATGTTCTTTCAAAGTACAGTTTATGAATTGTTCAATGTTAATACATACTGAGAATTACATTCTAATAATAAACAAAAAAATATTAATCACACAATCATGTTCCTATCCATTTCAATCACCAGCAATACTCCAACTACATATTTTTTTATTTTATCTACGTTTTATATTTAAAATAATCTTACCAATAATCCCATAATGAACCTGTTATAAAAATTATGTCAGGGAATGTTTCTTCTTCTTCACATTGACTAGTATTATCAGTAACAACATCAATAACTGTTACTTCTGTTGTTTCATAAAGGTAATATCCACTATCTATTCAGGAAAAATTATATTCATATATATATATTTTTTCATTCACAAAGTATATTTATCCTAAATAATCTTATTCTTACCATAAGGATAATCAAGTTGATCACTTTTTAAAATCAGAGCAGTTTTGGCTTTAGTTTTCTCAACATTCTTAACATAGTTTTTGGAATCAGATTCTACGTGATTACCCAAATTAATGTGAGGTGTTCTACTTGATGCTGGAAAATATATTTTTATTTTCTTTTAATTAAGTATTAATAACAATTTTTTATAAAGGATATTACTCAAGCATACCAATAAAATTGAAATTTAATCAGTAAAAAAAATTCTGTACATACAAAAATCTCACTGTATATTCTAAAAGAACACAATAAAAGAAACATTTATAAAAAAACAAACAAAAATTTAGTAAAGATGAAAACAACAAAACAAAACACAACAATGATACAACAAGTGTCTATTTATAAATATAGTTATTTGCATTAAAGTATTTGTTAATTCCAAGTGATTTACTAATGTAATAAATTTTGAATTAAATCCTATTTTATACTTAAACTTAAATTCTTCATTGTTTATTTATTAATTTACTTTACAAAAATTAATAATTATATGCCATTTGGTTTTTTAAGCTTACAAGATACATAGCAGGAAAATTTCCTGTATTTTTGTTAATTTGACTTGTCTTAAACCCACTTTCTATTGTTATAAATAATATGCGTGGTAGAATAAGCTTCTATCTGAATACAGTTCATTTCAAATGATATTTTTCATTTAAAATCCAATAACTAATTTTTTAGTACAGTAAAACTTGTCTAATATGGAATCTAACTGAAATAGAAATTTTCTTAAATGGAAAAAATTTATTGGAATGGAGCAATTTTCTATGTTAAATGTTACTTATAAGCCAGAAACCTGTCCAACATGATTGCAGAACATTTTTTGGGTAGGAAGAATGTAATTTAACCTGAATAAAGAAATAAATTAAGATTCCACTATATACAAATAAGTAAAATTACCTCCAGGTATAATGGTCACCACAGAGCATGGTAAACTTGTCATGGAAACAAAGATTGTATGACAAGGGATACATACAGACATGGTTTCATTAATATTAGTCCTTGTTAGAATTAACCAGGGATATATCTAATGCTTTTAAGAATCAAATGACTTTCTAAGAATAGGTCTCAAGAACAATGTGAGGATCAGAAATTTCGTATTATAAACTAAATTTTTTTTGTTTAATAAACTTTATAAAGACGGAATGAGAAAACAGAAAATTAAAAAAGAAACGGAAAAATTAAAATTGATAAAAACCTCAATTCCCATGAGTTGGGTTCCTTGTTGAGATGAGTACATTTCTGTGTTACGATTGTGTCACCAGTCACCTCATTGGACCAAGAAGATAGGCATCGCTGACGAAATTGGGGAAAGGTTCGAAAAAGAGGACTTGATATAAAAGGGACAGGCACGATGAATAAGGGAGTGGAAGTTATTATTAGTGTGTGTGTGTGTGTGTGTGTGCCGATCATTTACCTCCCACCGAGATCCATGAACGTCAACCCACCTCCTCCTCGCCTACAAGAGTAGAAGACCTCAACACTTACTCAACTGAAAAGAACTGTTGGACCTTTTTTGTGCTGGTACTTGATCAACAATACAACCTAAGGTATTTATCCTGCTCGCGCACTATTGTACACACTCTCTCTCTCTCTCTCTCTGCGTAAACTAAACGCGAAACCAGTTGTAATTAGAACTAGAAAATGATCAATAACTGAATACGATTCATGTAGTTTATGTTAGCATTTTATTCACAGATGTAAGCCTAATTTAGATTATATATAAATAAATGGTTGTTTATGTTTAAACTTCTTGAGTGAAGTTTCTTCCGTTTTCTCTATTCCGGGTTCAAACTTCGTATGCTACCGCTCGTGTGACGTAAAGTTGCAATTTTCGAGTCCTGCGAGACTCGGTGGTGTCACATCCTGACGTGGTATCGAAAAAATACCAACCCTACGGTCACAAGTAACGAATGTAATTCATTGAAAACAACAAGAATAAGGTAATACAATGCTGCCAATCTGCCTTGTATGAAGTAGTTTGTAAATAGTAGTGTATTTGAAAACAAATTGATTAACATGCTGATAACTACACAAAATGAAGTAAATGATTTTAATTAGAATATTAAAATTTATTGAAAAGTTAAATCATAAATAACTTGGATTCTATTGTTGTAAAGTAATCAGAATTTCTGACAGCAGAGTGAGGCACTAGTTCTTGTTCTCAAACTGGCTTGTTTAATGTTGTACTCATGAATATTGCATCAAAAATATTTGAATATTTAGCACATGTTCTTGGAAAAACGAACTTTTTGTAAACAAATACTGTAGTTCTTAATTTTCAAATACTCCCATCTTTAGTGGAATCACTTTCAATTAAACCTAGCAATAAATTTTTTTTATATATAAATGATTTTACTATTAAAAAATTGAACATAACTTTGTGACATTTATCTAATACAGTTTAAAAAATTTTTATTAAAAGAAAGAAAGAAAAAAAACTAAAGCCTGTTCAAAACAGAGAAATCCATTTTGAACAGGTTTCTGGTACTATGCACTTCTGGTTTACATAGGTTTTACTGTAATTAATAGATACTCAAAGGACATACAGATATCCCTGGTATAACATGTATGAATCTGTGAAACCTGTGTATGAACATAAGACTAGGTTCCAAAAGTTAGCAAAAGTATACTATTCATTTTCATAATTAAGAGAAATATTGTTATTAAAATCAATTAAGTAACAATCACAATAAAAGGTATTGCACAATAATATTAATCTTTTCTTCACTGCTAAACACTGTTAAATGAGAACAATTTCTTTTTGGCAAAATATCATCATCATCATGATTTTTCTCTACTTTTTCATAAAATCTGATATTTTCAATTGCTTGCATTTGACTAAGATTTTTTAAAAATTTAATTTTTGTATGTATTATCTTTTAATTTAATTTATAAAAACAAAACACAGTGACAGTGTACTAAATGAACCAGAAAGACTGTCACTAATGGCAGCAACACCTGGTTTATAAGAAAATTAGAATAGGAAACTATGACAAGGAAGAAGAAATATTGTACAATCTGTCTCCTGTGCTCCAAAAAGTCTTGAATTGTTGCCTGAAGACAAGGGAAGACCAATTGGTATTTATTATTTTACGTCGCTTCTTCTTGTGTTTGTTATCTGAACATGTGTTTGTTGTCCAAACATAAAAATCTTTTGTAAAAGAAGTGTTTTTTTTTTTAATCCAGTTTGTTAACCGATCACCCACTGTATCTTCTTGAACCATGTTTTATGGGGGATTTTCTCAATTCTTGAATAGTGTTGTAGGAATGCTGTGATGTATGAGGGATACCTGTATTTACTTACTATAATTTAATTTGTTATTCCCAGTAAAATAAAAATGGAGACTAAAATGCATTATATTAACTAATAATTGTATTTAGTTTTACCAGAAGAAGTGAACAATCAAGTTTAGATTAATATCTTTTTTAAAACAAGTTGTATACAACTGATCTCAACCATATACAACACAAATACTGAGGATATTTAAATTATGTGAAACAACAAATTAATTGCCATTAATTTGTATATTGTTTTATATTTTGTTGTAATTACTGTGTAACAAAGTCTATTACTCCTTGTAACTAAATGTTCCTTTGACATAATAAGAACTTGATTAATTGATAAATCATAATAAGACAACAAAGTCAATGGACAATAATCAGACAATTATTTTATCTTATTGGTTCATAATTTAAATCACAGAAAATTAATGAATAATCTTTCTATAAATTATAGCTTTTGTATTTATTTTTTCTTAAAATGTAAAAGTATTAACAAATATTAATTACCTGTTATAAGATATGGTTTCCAGTGAAAATGCTGTTTTATAGTTGAATCTCCAAGATTAACACCAAATATAGCATTCATTCTACCTTTAGAATGTTGAATGTAGGGTTGATTATTATGAATCCCTAAAAATTATATTAAATATTTGATTAAAGGTCTAAAAATGACTTAAATATATGATATTTTCTATTATTAAATTTAACATGAGATAGCAGATTAACTGTCCACCTCTAGCCAAATTACTTTATTAGCCTTAAGCAGTCTAACGATTTCAGCTGTTCTTTTGATATTTAAATACTTATATAATAATACTAATTGATAAATTTAAGAAATTAACACTTTAAAAACTTATAACTCAGAATGCACTTAATAGTCATTAATGATGTTTTTAATGGTTTTTGTTGTTTTTATCCCTAGATATTGATACTTATTTTATATATGTATCCCTTGAGGTTAGCTCTGTAATATTCAGACCACTCACTACAAATGCTGGTATGCATATTTAATGGCATTTGTCCTTTAAATAGAAAAGAAACAATAAAAAGAAATTACTATACTTATCTCTACAAAACTGGTTTATAAGTCTATTTTGTCACAAATAACAAATAGCCTTGATAGTCACTATTTAACAGATTTAAAACAAAATGACAAGAAGTGGATTTCAATAATTTGAAACTGATAACAGATTCAGAATGTGAAAATATTTTGAAAAACTAAAAAAAATATTGAAATATAATTTTTTGTTAAAATAAATTATAATGTCATAATATTAAAAATGATCATCTAAATTACCTGATTTGGTATTTTATTTTTATAACTGTATATTTGCGAAAGGACTGGCATGCCAGTTTAAGTGAAATTATATATCCCTTTCTAGAGAACACATTAAAAAAATGAATGTTCTTATTCTAAAACTGAAATTGTCAGAATTACATCAAAAACTATGATTATATGTTTAATTTCTTCATTTGTCTTCTTTCTAATGACGTAAAATACTCTTGGAATTCTGAAAGTAAAGGACTTTTTTTGTGTGCATTTTATTGTTATTTGATTCAAAAATGCAAAAGTAAACATATTAAATTTAAGGAACTGGCTGTAAATTATCTCAGTTTACATACATGCTATACTTCCTCAATTCTAAATTTAATTTTTTAAAATCTGCTTTTACTTATATGAAACAAATATGCATCTTATATCTACAATCTAAAGCAATATGTAATCATTGTAAATTGATCACCTAGTGTGTTAGGCATCAATACCAGACATTTTTAATATTTCTCAATAGTCAATATCAATGCCAAATGAGCTTTGCTGAAGTGAGTACTTAATTTAAACTCTTTAACATCTTAAATGTCTTTCAGACAACAACACGATGCAGTTTTAAAATAGTTGTTGTATATGCAGAAGAACATAGAAATATAGCTACTAAAAATTATCCATTTTTAAATTAAATTATTTAAAAATTTTTCTTTCCATACAAAAAAAATTTTTAAATTTGATTTTAAACTCTTAATATATCTTAGAATTATAGTATACAATGTGTATGTGTGTATTAAATATATGAAAAGTTTTTATAAATAAAATTGCCTTATAGTTAATTTTAAGTTTTAGTTTTCTAAACTAATTTTGATTGGACTTTTTATATCTATTAAAAGTAATTTTGAAATTTCATCATTTTAAATTATAAGAAAACTATTACATACCAAGATATAACAAAGGTGGTGCAATATTTTTCACACAGTTCTGGTCATCAGAAAATACTTTAGGATCAAATAGATTTATAAATTCCATTATTCCATTTCTAAATTTCCACAAATTGACAATGGGACTATCCAACTTAAAAGAAGTTTTATTCTTTAGTGTTGAAATAATTTATTAAAATTGCAAAAAATATTATAAAGCAAACATACTTTATGAGTCCACAAAGGAATGCCAGTGTTTTTCTCAATAAATGTAACTATACCATCAGAAATGTACACTTTTACTTGAAAATTATCCTCTGGTATTTCTTCAATTTCATCAACTTGTTCATTATTTCCACACCCTGAATGCAAACCATCAATAAAAGACATATGATGTTCTCCTACACTAAAATTCCATCTAGAATTAAATCAAATCATATAAATATTAACATTTTATCTATTATTAAGCAATTACATTTTGATACTGATGACTGATACATAATTATTTTAATTTATTTAACATAAAAATTATAATCAATATAAATAAGTCTTGAAGCAAATAATTCCACTAAATTATTAGATTTAGAAAAAAATGGAACTATTTTTAGTAAATTTATCTGATGTTCCAAAAAAATTTTTTTGAAGTCTCTCTTATGATATTTTAAATGTAATTCTTCCATCTAGTAATCATGTTGTTAAATAGCATGTAGAAAAAAAGGAGGGAAAACTTACAAGTTTTAAATATGAATTTTGCTTAATTTTCTCATAAACAAAAATTATTTCTGATAAAAAATTATATTATTTCTGATAAAAAAAAATTAGAATTTTGAAGTTAAGATTATTTCTAGATGACATTGAAGATGTTATTTACAACTGTTTGAACAAGCTTTGTTTATTTTGTTTACAGAATATCATTATTCAATCAGTTTTTTGTTTTTATAGTTGTAATAATTCCATTACCAAAACATGGTAGTAATGTATTGACTATCGTAAGCATAAAACAAGCTTTTATAAGGCAAGCATTTATTGTATTATGTTTTATTTATATGGGCATTTCAGGTATTGTTTACACCTACATTGTAAAATCTATATAAAGAAAAACAAAACTCAATACATAATTTAGCATTTGGTGTTTCATTGAATATATTTCATTATATAATTTATTATAATGTTGAAAACACGTTTTTAAGTGGTCTATAACTAAACAATGTTGTAATAACTTTCTTAAACTGATTTTTCCCTCTACTTTTCAAATATTGGCATAAAAATTGGAATATTTATATTATAACCTCAAAATTTGGAAAGTGAACAAAGTCTGCATTGTAATTTTTACTTAAACATTATTTGTAAAAATATGATTATGTAATGTAAATATTGTTAATAAAATCACATACAATATTTACATGCTAGTGAGGCAACAGCTATGCAGGCAGCATTATTTCACTTATATCTTTTGAACTAATAATCTTTCCATCATGAAATAAAGCAGAATACTATTGTATTTATTTGTATATTTTTTATAATTAAGATATTAAAAAAATGAATCAGGACCTTTAAAATGTGTGTTTTGCATTTGGCTATGTTGTTATATTGAGTTTAACCCACTGCTGTATTCTTTTGTTAGTCGGTTTTATTTGTGTATGTTCTGTGAGTTTGGCCTGTTGTAATCCTAAATATTTGTAGACTTTGTCCTCATCAATGGATAAAATGATGTCTCCATTTCCAAATACATCTTTCTTCAGAATTCTTTTTTTTTTTTTAATAGGGAAGTGTGCATTTGTTTAGGCCAAACTTTATTTGAATTTCAGTGGACTACACGAGTAACTTCTAATAGGTGATTTAGCCACGTATTGTGTTGTTTTATTGTGTTTGTTGTTGTAACTGTACTTAATATTGTTTAACGTATTGAACAGTGGGTTAAAGCCTTATTGTTATATCATTATTGAAACCCATTATTATATCTTGGAAAAAAACTGTTATTATTTTTTTCATATTTACATATTATAATCTTTTCCATTTAATTCATTAATGAAATTATGTTTATTTGTACAATATTTTTAATTTTTTTATGTACAATAAATGTTATTTGATTTAAGAAATTTTTTTTAAATGTTAAGGCATATTTTACCTGAGAGGACAATTTATTTTTTCTCCCAGATTTGTTAATTCAATGATCTGAACGGTTACTCTAATGTGATTCTGATCATTTATGAAGTATGACCAACTGAAACCATCTGGACCCATTTATTAATACACCAATACAATGACATTTCATCAGCATTATATCCTTTATGAAACTTAAAAAACATAATATGCCCGATGTGCATTTTATCTGCAGATATTTTGAGTTAAAATAAAATGTGAAGTAAAAAGTTTTAAAATAAGTTTCTAAACAAAAAATACAATAATCACATTAGCAATGATGTGTTAAATTTCACAACTGTTTACTTAATATAGATATGCTATTTAATTATAAGGCAACTGTAAAAATAGGCAAAAACTTTTCATTTTTGCATGTTTTTGTGTGGTAGATTTGAAGAAGTGTTAATTAAAACTTCTGCTATATATATAATATAAAGGGATTGTCACAATTAATTTCACAGCATTAATCAAATCCCATGTTAAGCAAGGGATGGATACCTGTATTTTGAACTGAGCCAAAGGACACACCAAACTCTGTTGTAAGCAAATGTAAGCTTCTTTGTCAATCCTGTAAACTTGTCAATTTTGACAATGAATGTATAAGTTGAAATAACAAAATTGTCAACTTATGCAGTAGGGCATGGAAGGTTGGCTGTTTGTTGACATCCTGTCTGAAACATGAATGCCCAATCCTTCACTATTGCCTTTGATACACATTTCTCACCATACACAGCATTCATGCATTGATTAAGTTCATTTGGCTAACAGCTTTCTGTTGTCAAAAATTGAATCACAGAACATTGATCCATTTTTGATGGATTTAAGATCACCACCATATTTACATCAGCACCCGCACAACCAAATGAACCAACAGCACCTCCTGCCAGAATATCATGGTATATAGTTGCCTCTTTCCTCACCTACCACCACTGATTTATATGCACACAGTGGAGCAAGTAATGGAGCCTGGACAGGTTTCAGTTGTTCACATCTTGTACAATGTCATCATATAGATAGTAAAATAGCATTATGCTTAATAGGAAAACAGCTGAGATCTTTATATCATGGTGAGCTGCTACAAAGTGAGTCTATTGTATTATTTTTCAAATTTCAACTCAGTATACTGATCATTTATTAATTTGTAATGAAAAAAAATGTTTAAATATAAGTGTAGTCTCTCACAGTCAGAAATTCATTAGAAAATTTCTCAGTGTATCTAACAAACAGGAAAAGGAATCAACTAAGTGTGCTGTTAATTATTAAAGTTTTCATAAATTGCAGTAAACTAATCTTTTTATTTATAAATTTCAAAAAAATTCATATAGAAAAGGATTGTGTGTGTTCTACTTGATTTATTTTAATATAAAAATATTTTTCTTTTTAAATATATGATATTCATACAAAATATAACAAATTTAGCATTATTGCATTATAATTAAAATAATAAAAAAAAAATGAAAAACATGATGTTTCTTCAATAAAAAAGATGAAAAGTATACTCCATGTTAGATCTTTCTTTTGTACGTACACGGTGAAACCAGAGATATTGAGATTAAAAACTGACTTTGCCAGGTGTCTGTCTATAAAAAAAGATCTGACATAGATATACTTTCCATTGTTTGAAATTATGTCATCATTACTGATGACAATGTAATTTTTGTTTTTACATTTTTTCAGTCTTTTTTAATTATTTTATACATACTAAACACATAAGTAAAATATCTTGCACAGCAATAAACTTTACAAATAAAATAAATTTTAATTATAAAATAATTACTTTTCAACACCTGTTCTTGAATCAACAGAACGCAATATTTGAGTATGTCTTTTTAATACAAAAATTTCTTCTGTTGAAGATACACTTTCTCCTAGTGTTGTACAACCTGCCATATTACACATGTAACGAATCTATCAATAATAATTTTCAAAAATTATTTAAATGAAAAGCTATCTCACTAGAATAGTATTATTTTGAAATAAAAACTTACTTGACCTGTTTGAGGATTAATTCCATAGCTACTTGTTTCTTTTCCACCAGTAATAACATTATTATCTCCAAATTTATAAGAATGTTGTAATAATGTTTCTGGTAAAACAGGGACAGGTTCTATAGTTTCTCCATTAAAAACATAAAGATTTCCATCTAATGAAGGGATCATTCGTACAATGTCTCCATTATTGTACAGCTGAATTTAAAATAAAATAAAATAAGAAAAAATACTAAATTCAAAAAAGTTAACTTAGGAGAAAAAAAAATTAAAATTTATTCCATTAAAAATTTTTTTTAGCAAATATCCATAGCTTTATCTTGATATGTCATTATACATCAAAGCATTAGAACAAACATTACATTTAACTTTTAACTATTAGATGGAACTAGATCTAAAATGATTATTTGCATACTTAAAATTATAAATATTTGTTAAAGTAAATGCATTAATTTTGTGTTATTTATTCCTTAAATATTATCTTTAAAGTTAAACTTATTGGTGTAAAATATATTAATACTTTTTAATTTCTGTTCCAGTTTTCATCTTAATGTTCTATTTCTATATTATTTTAATCAAATCTGACAATGTCGGTTGTATATTGATGAAAAGTAAAAGATTAGGGATTTTTGATTTTGCTGGTTTTTGATGTGTTGCATATCTGTTTATTTTTTAAATATGAAGATAACTAGCATGTAAGTCCTGCATTACCTAGGGAAAAATAACAACAAACATTAAGTTTATCAGATTATTTTGTACTTCTAACCCTTTTATTATATTATAGTATTTGATATATAACTATAGAGGTTATCTTACATAACAGTTTATCACACCAAACAGTCAATCTAATGAATTTTAAAAATTCTTTAAATTGTGTACAGTAGAGGAATAAAAATTGGTTACTTGGTGAGATAAACCCTTACATAAGATAACCTTTGTAGTTATATAAATCAAATACTATAATATAACAAACATAAAAATGAAAATCATATAAAGAGTGTCATTTTAGCCTACCATGGTCATATTTATCATGATACTTGAATGGTACAAAATGGCACATTTATCAATTTATTCATAAACCTGCTTAAGGTTTAGCATTAGCATTCAAAAAGCTTTTGGAATTCTACAACAGAATGCTTAAATGCATTGTATGACATACTGTTTAAATTTAAAATATTCAATCCATAAGATTAAGTATACAGTAAGACCCCACTTAACACACTGCCTCACTTAATGCTGATTCGATATAACGTCATCTGCTCGAAGCCTAAAAAAAAAAGCTCAAAATTTACACTTATTTAAATTATCATGACATTTTATTGATTCGTACATAATACAATTATTTACGAACATGAACAAATCAAAAAAAGGTGGCAAAAAGGTGTACTTTCTTTAAATCTATGTTTCCAAAATTGCAATTTTGAAAAAATATAACATCATGGATGTCACACGCAATATCGGCTTGGCTTGGCAAGAATTTTCTGATAAATGCACAAACAAAGTGTGGAAGAAGTTATGGCCGAAGGTATCCAAGAATTCTCAATGAGAAGAGTCTATCACTGAATCATTAGGTTGATCAAACTCAACTTAATTGATATAGCAGGACCAGGAGATGTAGATGAGCGGATATTGAAGAGTTACCGCAAGTTTCTGGTAAGAGTCTTATCAACAACAATCTTCAAGAACTGGCAGAACAAGGAATCAACATAGAACTGGAAAATAGAGATTCTGAAAACAGAGAACCCAAAAAATTTCTCTACAGATTTCCTTAGTAAAAGTTTGCTAGAAATAAACAAAATCGTTGATCAAATTGTAGCGAATGATTTAGACTTTGAAAGGAGTGCAAAAGCAAAATGAGACATTTTGGATGCAATCTTCTGCTATTGACATTTGCTTAAGGAAAGAAAAAGTGACAAATGAAACTTCACGACTTTATTGCAAAAAAACAAGAATTTCAGGACCTTCATCACAAAAAATGAACTTTTAATATAGGAAAAATGAACTAATTAATATATTATTATACATTTCTGTGTGCATGTGTTCATGTGTTATTTAACATATATTATTATATAAATTAATATAAAAATGACAAAATTAAAGTAAAATTTTTTATTTTTGGTTGCGTGTTCCCCTTTCCCTATTTACTCTATGTTAAAATAACCTCTAACGCTGTTTTGTTTAGCGCTTTGTCATCTAGGAATGCATCCCTCGCTTAATGCAGGGAATGCATTCCTAGATGACAGAGCGCTATTATTATTTTAAAAGACCCCGCTTAAGACAGAGTCTTACTGTACTTTTAAAATAATAATAGTAATAAAATAATTACTTTTAATTATTAAGTAATAGTAGTAGTAGCAATATAACAAATATAATTTGGCAATTGTTTGGCTTTGTTATATATAACAGCTGGAAAAGTAAAAATTCCTAATAAATATATATTAATGCATTCTTGAGTTGCTGGAACACTAACAGTAAGCAATTCAGCACCCTCTGTACTCTTTCCATTAAAAATCTGAGGCAGGCCTCTTAAAGGCAGAAAACATTTGTTTCATTAAAATGTTTTGCTGGAAAGAGTATGGAAGGTGTTAAGTTACTTATTATATAATAATGCAGTCATTTATGCCATTTTATTTACTAGTTACAATTTGTAATTCATATTAAAAAATTTAAATCATAATAAGTTAAAAACATACCTCTAAATTGCTAATACTTGATGATAATAAGGCACCAGGTTCAGTATCATGACTCCATATTAATTTTCCTCCATCATTTGGGTCAAGTGCAGATATCTTTCCATCTAAAGTACTCACTATAAATAGTTCTCTATACAAAAATAAATAATTTCATGATTATAAAGGTATACATTTTTAATTGAAAATTTTTAAAATTAATTATTAATTAAAATAAATAATTACATAATCAAATAAAATAAAATAATTAAACAATACTGCCAGATTTTAATCAAGCTATATAGCTAATTAATTATAAAGATATGTAATTTGGATTAAAGGTAAGCAGTTGAGCTGCCATATTGTGTTAAATTTAATATACAGTAGTAAGCAGGGAGTTGCAGATTTGAGTCCTGCTCTGGAATGACGTTTTCTTCCAAAATATTCTAAATTAGTTAATTTATTTCTAATTATTAAATTTACCAGAAAATAATTATAAAGATAGGTACAATACTTCAACTGTTAAGTTTAGAGCCCAATTAAAATTTGACATATTGTTTGTTTATTATTATTGTATATTATATACTTGGTTTATATGTAATTATAAAATAAATATTTCTTTATAATGCTAAACTTTTTTCTACTTTTAAATAATTTTCAAGTTTAAAAATTCACTTGCAAAATGTATATCTATAAAAGTTATTACAAAATTATTACACTAAATAAACATAAGAAATATCGTTAAAAATTGTTTATTAATTTTGAATAATTAATTTTTTAATAAATTTTTATTTATTTATTTTTGTAGTCTTTGAGAATTTATTGTCAAAAAGAAGTTAATCTGTGTTCAGATATATTCTCCACCTGCAGAAAGTATCCACTAATAGAAAGATGAGTCACAGATGACTCATACAGATGGAACCCTTTCTTTAAAACTAAACAAACAGCTTGCAGTTTCTATCTATTAGATTATTAATTTTAAGTATGATATCAACACAAAACATAATATCATATTTGATAACTATAAGATAAAATATATTTCAAATACCAAAATTTTAATTAATTATAAATTGGTTAAAATTTAATTTCTAAGAAAGATTATAATTTTTAAATAATTTAGATTATTTTTACATAGGTGATTCATTATTATTAACTATTTTTCAATAATTAATAAATTACTAAAAATATCAGACATAAAAAGAAATTATTAATGCATTAACATTTTTTAAAAAAATATCAATATAATTTAATACAAATATAAATATTTTATCATAAAAACAGTTAATTAGCATAACTTCAGAACCACCAATGACATACAAAGATATGTTATTGATCCACAATGGAAGAAAATAATCAAAATTCTATCTTAATTAAATAACAACAATTGTAAAATTATCACCTGGTTACTTAGAAGTAAAACAAATTAATATTACTTTTGTACTGAATAATTAGGAAGTTTCTTTAAACAAAAAGTCTAAAGAAATTATAAATTACTAAATATTAATCATTTATTTATCATATATTAATCAGTTTACAGTAATCATATTAGTTTAATATAATATTTATCAATTTGATGACATGTGCTAAGCAAGTAAATATTATATAGTCAAATTTGATTAATTCTTCCAATTAAACTTATACAACCACCCTTGATGGAAATCTTTTGACAGAAAAGTTGAAAATGAGATAGGACAATTATCTGATTTATCCTCTAGCAAAAATTTCATGGAAGAGTAGATAGGTTTAAAAAGCTCTAAAAAGTGTGATAACTCACTTCCTGCATCATTTCACACAATCCACATAGCTTAAATAGAAAATTTATACTTCTTTTTGTGAGTAATTTCAAGGGTTTACCTCATGGATTTTTAGTATAAATCTGGAAAAAATATTAAACACTGATACAGTGTTACCATTTTCCTAAACTATTTAGTGATACAATTTCAAACATTTAGTATAAATCTGGATAATTTAAGCTGGTATATTTCCCATTTTGAAAAATGAAATTCAAAAAGAAAAAATAGCACATAGACAATCAATTTAGAGAATGCATGCATTTCATGATATCCTTAAAATGCATGAACTCTCTACNGGTTCTGTATTTTATTTATTAATGCATTTTTAATAATATATGGTTAATAAAAATCTATTTTAAGCTTACAAACAAATAAATTTTAGTTTTTAATATAGTACAGAAAAAAGTATTCTAAATTTACGAATGCATGTACTGTAAATACAGAACATACTAGTATATATTTTAATATGATTTTATGTGCTTTAAACGTTTTTCTAGTGATATTACAACTTCAATATTTGTGGTGAACAGATGTAAAGTTGAGTAAAATAACTTAAACTTGATTTTTATTTTTCCATATACTTTTTTGACAAACGACGTATAATCGGGAACGACGTAACTCGAAACGACGTATAATCGGGAACGACGTAACTCGAAACGACGTAAGTCGAGGTATGCCTGTACTTACCTACAGTTAAAAAAACAACATTTAATAACAACTTACCTAAACATATTTAAGTAAGCTTTACTAAATAGGGAGATTAATCTATAAAAACAAAACACATGACAGTCATTACTTTTAGACCTTAGCCCTTAAGGGTTAAAGTCTAAAAATAATGACACGACACTTGGTTGATAGGAAAGCTAGGACAAGAAAGAAAAATTCTACTATCAGTTTTCATTAAAGTAAATCTGACAAAAGGAACAAAACAAATTGAAAATTTCAATATTCTAAAGTCTGTGGGCAAATTCGAGATGACACACCTGCTTACTTGAATTAAAAAAAAAAAACATTGAATAATGAAGTTTACACTTAAAAATTGTGAAAATTTTATATGGAGGATTTCCAAAACTGTGGTGTTGTATGAGGGATACTTGTATAAAAAAAAAAAACTGATATTTTTCTTTTTCTTAAGTAATTTTTGCACTTTCAATTGCTTATATTTTGGCAACTGCTTTATAGAAAATTGTGAAATTTTGCACACTACCTAAGAAAACAATTATAACAAACAACTATCTTTCAAGTGAGATATTCAGAATTACTTCAGGTGTTTGGGATGAAGAAAGCAACCCCCAAAAATTGACAACTAGTAACTTAGTATCTTTTTTTACTTGTCAGGGAGTCACTGCTGTGACTCTTGATATATTACCTATTAAACAGTAAAATCGAGTGAGGTGAAAAATAATGTTAAGTGAAATGATATTAACAAAATCATATGTTGTTTATATTAATTAGCCTATGGTAAAATTTATTTCATTATATTAATATATTGTTTTACTTAACATTGCAATTTACAGAACCTACTGATGACGTTAAGTGAGGAATTGCTANACACAAATAAAACTATAGCCAGAAACTAAATTAATGACTACTTATACTAAAAAGGAAATAAGGAAAGGATAGACAAATAGGACAGATAGATATCTAGTACTAGTCAAGAATGGGTACCCAAGATAGTTGACGATGCCAAAACGACCAGGACAACTCCACCACATGTCTTCACTCTCTGACGTCACAGCCAAAAGTGGTGTGAAATGTCTTATCTTTTGCCCTCCGGGCTACCCCTTTTCTTTTGTCTTCTAACACATTTACTCACCACCCACACTTGAAAGAAGTTTCTAGGAAGTTAAAAACAAAGAGAACAAGAACAAAGAAGGAAAGGAAAATATACATATATATTGAAGATATATACAAATCACAAAACCTATGATACAAAGCGCGCCATTTTCAAACTCACAAATTATTTTCAATATTTTGCATTAAAATCTCGCGACCTATAGTTTAAGAAGCCATGATCTAACTCATAACAAGGAAAATTTTTGAATTGAATTAATGTGACTTCTGCTTTACATCAAAAGTTCATATACAGTTAATTGGGGCATCTTAAGTTTTTCATATCTGGCTTTCCATATCTGGTCTTGGATTTCATCTATCTAACTGTTCTGAGATTAAGGAAAGACAGACAACAGTGGAGATTTATAAATCTACAATTTTTTCAAATTGCAGTCCAACATAGCAAATCATCGCACAAAGGTATATAAGAGGAGGCACTCATCATGCAATATCAAGTTTTATGATGTCTCAAAATATTTGACCTTTTTTAAATTTTGATGTTAAAGAGTTGACAGTGTTTATGGCAATAGCTTTATAAGATATCATATGCAGAGATAACATAATTGTGCAATATTAATGTTAATAAAAAATTTTTGACTTTTATTCAAAAATCAGTGTTTTTCTACCAATGTCCCAGCTATTCCCCATTCTAAAGATTGGCAAGTATGAAATTGAGTCACAAATATTTGCATGAAAACTCCACAAATAATTAGTAGTTCTTTCAAACTTTCAGTAAAAACCAGTTCTTTACTATTCATGTTCATAACATCTTTAGTGCCTATTCAAATCTTTCAAATTCAAAATTTTTCATGGAACAAAAATTGAATTTTAAATACTAGTAAAGATATCTCTCACCATTTGATGGAACATGGAAATTTTTCTAAAGTTTCTCAAGTTCTGATGCATGCAACATTTAAAAATGATTTTCTTTAGCAAAGAACAAGAAGCTTGGTCAAGCCAATCCGATAGCATGATCCACAAAAGCAAATCAAATATTAATTTTGTTTAAAATTAATTTTATAAATTCTTGGAATCAAGTAGTTGTTACTCATGTGCAATAAATGGATTGAACGGAGCATGTGCATGCAAATTTTACAGATCCATATCTGAACGACACACAAAAGTCCTAATATAAGCAATTCTCACTGTAGTGGAGCATGCTAAAAATAGTAAGTAAATTATTATAATGCTTCAAATGCAATTTTTATTTAATAGTGTCAATTTTACAATTTATGGAAAAGTTAAAGAAAAAATTTACAAATACTATTTATTTACAAGATTGTATTTTAAAAGATAAAATTGTGTTTAATGAGAAAATCTTTTACATTATTGTTTTAAATGTACCTATTGGAATTGAAATTTATTATTAAAAAAAACATCCAAGTCAAGTTTCCTAAAAAAAAATGTGGTGTGACAAGTCCAAAACTAATAGCCAAATATGTAGCTATATAAGAAAAAAAATTAATAGTGTCATTTAGTTTTTGTATCATAACTAACATCATAATTCATTACAAGCTGTTAAACCAAA